ACAAGATGAGTTAAAATTCATGCATATTTTCCTTATTCCCCTGGTCTTATATTCATGCAATTCTTTGTTTTCATAAAAAATTTACTCAAAGCATCTGGTAGCATCTTATTAAATATAGCTATTACGTCACTGTTTATATCTTAATAAAGGTTGGCGCTAGCATACACTGAGACTAACCAGACTACCCATAATTTTGGAGGAAAAAGAGGGGAGACGCCAGGCACAAGAAATGTAAGTAACATTTTCATAGAGGATTTAGAGAATACTGAGCCATTTAATAAACTGGTATATCCCTTTGATGCATATCTACTTTTGTTATATGACTGAATCTGCAAGCTGACAAGATGAAGCGAATCTTTTGTTTTGATTGGCTGCCCAAGCAGGGTCCTGCAAGAAACCGTTTATTTTTGGTCATATAATTAATCCTTTATTGACCAAGCTTGTTCAGTCAAGATGGCAAGATATTGTCCTCAATGGGTTTGTTTTTGTTCATGGCCTTGTAAAATTACGTTAAGTGTTCTCATATTATTGTCATTTTTGCCAGTGACTCTTGCAAAATATTGTAATTTTTATATATTCCATAGCCATGAGCTTTATTTGAACATATCTCTCACTATGGCACTGAAAAGGTCAAGACCACTTTCCACAGGATTAATCACTCAGAATACAGTGGATAAATATTAGAAGTAGTAATTGAGTTATGTTATCGTGTTTTTGAGTAAAGATTTCTCAAAAAAAAATTAACTTAATTCCCCTCGAAACACTTAGGACTTAATTCTTAGTAGCTCGTTCAAATGTGTCCTTGTGTTTCAGATCGAAATTAAAGTTACATGTAAAAGCAAATTTGAATTTTGAGGAGAAGGCAAAACCGGAGTACCTGGAGAAAAATTCCTAGGAGCAAGATAGAGAACCATCAACAAACTCAACCCAAATATAGCATCGGGACACTGAGATTTGAACCCACTTCACATTACTGGGAGGCAAATGCTCTCACCACAGTGAGCAAATGAAAGTAATGATGGTTTTATCTAGAAAACAAACCAACAGAAACAAGACAAAGATTTTGGTTCGCCACTATTATCATACTTTATTTGCAACTATTATCATACTTTATTTGCATGTTTTGCTTGCATTTTAAATTAGATACATATGGTCAAATATCATAGGCAGTTGTTGATCTACAATGAAATATATCAACCTTAATTTTTTATTGTTAAACCTCAACTCTCTGCAAATCAAGTTATTAATGTATTGTGCATAACCGAAACATATTTCAGACTAAAACGTGAAGAATTTCGAGTTGTTTTTGCACCTTATTATCGTATAAAGCAAATCAAGGTATATAATTGCCCAACAAAAATAAAAAAGGAAAAAAATTAAAATAGTTTTGCACTAGATATCTGCGTTCCTATTCGCACAAAGGGAAAATGAAGATCTAGAAATGCACTAATTTACGGGATAACAAATCTTGATGAAAAACACCGACACCTCAATTTTTTGTTGTTAATATACCTGATCAATCCTAGGGAGAACTAGCGTAACCCGATCAGAGTGATTGTCCGAAGCACTTTGATCGAGTTGATTAAGTCATCTACCTTTCAAGACAGGAAGCAGGACAATTTCTTTTGGACAAAAGAAGAAGGAAATTTAATGTGTAACAATTTTATGGGGACAAGAAAGCGGATCCTCTCTTTAAAATCAACAGGTTTCACTGACAATAATCTGACAATTTTTCTAAGAATCCGACACAGTATCTCGTAGGCACGCCCACCGTTTTTCTCTTTCCCATGATATAAAATCTGTCTGACTATGAAAGCCACGGCGCACCTCAAATCTTAGAAGCAACGTGACTGACCGAGAGAATTTTTGTGGTGGTCCGTTGCTTTAACTTAAATCAAATGTCACTGTCAACTTTTCATGGTTGTGGCTAAAAACGCTAACAAAAACATATAGGAAGAGGGTAGTCAGGCTTCGTAGCCATTGCCCTGTAATGACCATGTTGAGTTCGTTTAGTAAAATTCTTCTTCCGAAACACTAACGTCATTATCATAGGCACGCTGGTCGGTGCAAACACCACTGATGTTATCTGTTGGCTCCAATTGCTCTTTCAAACTTGCTACTATCGATGTTCCGTTATTTACAGATATCTCCATGATGTCTTGTGTGTTCGAGTCATCGTAGACCCTGTTTCAAGACAAAAACCAATATGCTTTCGTAAAGAGGTCTGTTAATTTCCTCGACGCCACAAGTACTTGCTTAAGACGTTTTGTCGTATTTAAATCGAGAGTATGATGTTGATGATAATGATGATGGTGATGATGACGACGACGACGGTGATGATGATGATGATAACTATCAATCAAAAAATTCTCAAATACATTTTGTATATACAGTTTAAAGGTGCGGAATCTTTCGTCAAACAAGCTTTTTTGATCTCATTTGACTTACACTGTAATGGCAAAAATAGTTTCCACTCTCATTTGATGAATATGTCAGAATACTTTAAGATTCCTGACTTTAACCCCTGATTTATTAGATATAGCTATGGTAAAAAGCTATGTAAGTTCAATGAAACAGATATATATTTCATATTGGCAAAACACCCCTCAACATTCTCAAAAACTTGAATTTTAAAGATCTTTAAAAGCAATCATACCACCTTTGTCCTCTAGTTACTTAGACTTAACAAGGGGAACAGTTGGGAGAAGGGCTTTAGTAAAACTACGAATAAGCAATCACAAACTAGTGATAGAAATAGGCAGATACAATCAAACTACGAAGGATAATAGGCATTGCCCTTTTTGTGGATCCAATCTAATAGAAGACGAAGTTCACTTTTTTTTCAATGTCCTACATACTCTATAATTAGGAATAAATTTTACTATAAAGTCAAGACTCTAATTCCAAATATTACCGAGATACCTATTTACAGTTTGATCAATGAACTAATGAACTCCTCTAATTACTTAGAGAAAAAAAAAAAAACTTTTTCAAGGAAAAACAGACACGTGTGGACGGGGCCTTAAACACCGTCCACGCGCTTCGGGTTATTTTTGAAAACGGAGAACCCGCACGAAACGACAAAACTGCACGTTTTAGAAAAAGATTACCACAGTGGAATTTCTTGAAAACGCCGGCTTATCGTTTTGGTGTGGCTGAACGAAAACTAGGTTTTCAAATACTGTGCAGGGGCGCAGCCTACAGCCCAGGCCTACAAATGTTTTTTTTTTTATTACTTTGCCGCTTGTAATAAATTATGCGTTGTTGAGGTGAGGTCAAAGTGTTGGTGAGGTTAGTGCGCTGTAGTCTTGCGTGCAATTTTCAGAATATCTGGAAATGAAAGTCCCCCAGGCCTACAAATACTCGAAAAGCTGGCTACGCCCATGCTGTGATTGCAGACATCATACAGCGCATGCCCTGTAAAGGATGCTACCTATCCATTGTTTTTGTGTTTCAAACGATTCGAATTCGAATACGATACGAATAAGTGTGCACGCGTATTTTTTTTTTTTTTTTTTTTGTAAAACGTATTCAGGCCAACTGGCTGGTCCCAGCTTGGTACTGTTTTGAGTACAGTGTTACTCTTTAACAAAAGGCAAATAATGATCCGTGCCGCAAAGACTAAAGATTCTGATAGAGAATACCTATCATAGTTGAAAGGTTTCAAGCATGCTCAAGGAGTTATCCCCTGGAGGGTGGGGGGGAGGGACTGAACAAAGTTGTATACAGGGAGGCTCAATCCCGTGGTTCTTACCTTTTTATACGTCATTTTATAAAGAAGAAGGTACTTCTTTCGGGCGGAGCTTCTCCTTACAGGTCATTATATGGAGTACCCCCGGGAAATACGAAAATATTCCCAACGTGTTCCTCCCCTCCTTGTCGTCCCCTAAACTTTTTCATTCATAGTGGAGTTAACTGAAACATTCCGTTCTTACGCTTTCGTAGAAAATACTTTGATGCCAATGCTAATACCAGAAAAAGAACTTAGATCAATATCGTTGTTAATTTTGACAAAAGTAGTAGAACTTAAAACTTTCCATAAGGGAAAATAACAACGAATTCTAATTGCATTCTATTATTTATTTATTCACAATTTATTACTTTTAACACACGAACGACAGTGTAAAAAAAAAAAAAAACAGTTAAACAATTTGAATGTGGTCACACACATGCTAAGAGTAAATTCTAAGTAACAATTTGAAATTTAACTCGGCGTCCTTGGAAACTGCAACTAGATGCTCAGTCCTAAATGAAAATTTACGAGGCTTCTTATTGTAATTGGCAAAAAAAGGATTTTGTTCAACTAAACTTGGCATTTTTAAAATATTTTTACAGTGTATCTATACAGTCCACTCTCTCTTAACGGAAACCTCTATAAGACGGACACCTCTGTAAAACGGACGCCTAGAGTTGGCCCCTGCCTTTGTTTATTCCCTTTATTTGACTCTCTATAAGACGGACATCTCTCTAAGACGGACACTTGGTGCCGGCCCCAAAGGTGTCCGTCTTGGAGAGAGTTGACTGTAATAGGATGCATTGTAATAAAGGTGTATTGACACTTTGTAATTCACAGAAGGCTGACAGTGTTGAGTCCAATCCTGTGAAGCCACTGGCATTAGTGCCTGAAAAGGAAAACGTATGGTTGACTTATGCTATGACATATCACTTAAATTAAAAAAGTTCTCAAAGGTTTTCCTTTGTAGCCCTGTTCACCCTTAACCATCATGAGGTCGTAAACGTATAAACGCGACCCTTCTCTAGTGGACAGGTGTAAATATTTATGTATGCCCTAACAAACTGGAACCTGCAAAGTGTAGCCTCTGAGCACGCCCAACACCCATTCAGTGATTTATAATATACCGTATACTAGGATCCCAAGTAAAGCTGGCTTGCCCTTGTTCCTCTTTTTTTACTGCAGTACAAAGGCATCATTTGCCTAGGAAAGCATTGATTTACTTTGCTTCTCAAAATTGAACAGTTCACAAGTGGTTTTCTTTGTCTTACCTGACATCGAGCTTGAGCGTATCAACCACAAAGCGTAGTGGCTGCTGATTTAGTGAACCACGCCGCTTCATCGCACTGTCAATTCTGCAAACTGCAATTTTTAACTGTCTCCTATCGATGACAAAAAATAAAAATAAAAAGTGAAATAATTTCTTAGTCAGGCAAAGAACTGTAAATGAAATATTTTTAAGCTCAACAAGTAAATAACATGCACCTCCCTAGTCTGAACAAACAGCCGTCATTTCGGGACCTCACCATCGGGTTTCCCGCGAAATGACGTCGGACAAATGATTGCAGTAATCCCATACTAATGACAGATCTGAGTAGTGCTTCTGATTGGCTGAAGCAAATTTCCTTCATGCTTCGACCAATCAGAATCAATACCCACATCTGGGTAGTGAAACATTTCTGCAGTCGTTTCTCAGACGTCATTTCGCGCTGGGAAACCAGTGGTGGCGTCGCGAAATGTCGGCTGTTTTCTCAGGCTGACATGGCCCAGCGTTCACCCTTCTGCATTTTTAGTGACCCATGCAGAATCAAGATACTTTTAGCGAAACGCTATCCGTACTGGTTGCAAACCATCTCTTGTTATGCATGGCACCAGTTTAAATCCACTCTTTATAGTAGATAGCTGAGAAATATCTTGCTTGAGTAGCACACTACCATCAAAACTCGTTTTCGCGCGCCTTTCACTTACATGTATATGGGTCATCCCCACAATCTGAGAGCCTAGAACAGGCTACCTTAGAAGGAGAGTCACGTGTGTCTTATAAAACAATACGCCCTATTTTAAGCTAACAAGGAAAGGGTAAGAATTTGTAAATATTCGCAGTCTCCCTTTAATCATTTTCGTTCTCAATCTTCTCTCTTTTTTGCGCCTCAAGACTGGACTAAGCTATACGCGAAGGATGTGGATCAGAAGAGAATTTTGAATCCTCATTTTGAACAGCTTTTTTGCCGCATGCTGCCACGCCTGTCAATTATCTCTTTATCGATATCTATTACAACAATGCTTCGATGCTCAGGTTCACTGTACATCGCCCCTACAAACAATGAGAAAAGAAAAAGATTAGTGATAGGAAATAGGTATATCTTCAGTAAAGATGACTACAAAGTAAATACATTTTAACTGTCTTCTATAAAGCGATGAAACAACTTATCCAAACGTTTCAAAAGCGAAATATCTCTTTAAACCCAAAATCCTAATTTTCAATCTGGCAATCTAATCTCTAAATTGAAGCTCCTTCTCATTAGACTGTTAGAGCAAACAAGCCATTAGATCCTGAAACTTTTAATTTTGCCTATAACAACCCTGATTACAGTCTATTCACGCATTTTTTTCGCCCTCATTGAGAAAATACTTTAACCAATTAATCTACTTTTTAAAGTTCTAATATGGAGCAACCAGTTGACCTAAAAGCCTTTTGAAACAACGCTTGAAGAGTAACCGAGATAATTTTCATTTACAATGTACCAATACAAGTATATGATTAGATGAAAACACAAAAAGCATTGAAATAATGAATGCTACTCAACCACGTGAGATTTGAGTTTCCTTAATTTGAAAACTCCAATCTAAGCCGTTTTTGTGAGGAGTCTTGAATCTAAGCTTTTTGCGCATAAAAAAGCTTTAATGCAAGATGATCCACCAAATGATCTTGAATTCCAAGTTTCTAGCACTTGTAAATAGACTCAGTAAACAAGATTTCACTTATAATATTCAAGCTTAAATCTACAATTTTACATTTGGAGAATTAGCTTACAAAATGGAAAAAAATTGGAGGAGAAATCACTACTCCAGAATTTGAGAAGTGGAAATTTGTATTCAAGGCCTTTATTTCAATCATTCAATACAGATTTCCTCAAAGTAATTGTAAATGAGCTTAAATGCATGGTTTTCAGTACTTTTTCTACCTTCTGATTGCAAAGTCTCAAAAACCAGCTATCTAATAAGGCTTAATTCCAAGCTTCTGAAGTTTGAAATTCTAGCCCTGTCTTTTAGAGACTGAAATCGATACTTTTACAAAGATCGTAACAGTATGAGTTCAATCCGCTTGAACTGAGAAATCATGTTTGTCCAAGATGGATTATCGAAGTGACATGAAATTGCAGTTAACAGTATGGACATGAATAACCCGTGATCTCCATCGTTACGGTTTATTCAAAACGGAAATCACATTATTTCAGGTGCCTGGCACATAAGGAGTTATACTAAAAGTGGACAAACACAACCAACTAGAAGCCCCGAAAATATAACATCAGAGAAGCCTATTTCGACGTTAACTGTTATCTGACTGATATCATAAACTGACAAAAAAAAAAGTACACTGTCCAAACCTTCATGTGCTGTCGTAAGTGACCAACCACCTATAATTTATATGTATCAAAAGCACTGAAACGTTCCCAGGCCAAACCCTGTAATTAGAACCTCTTGTAAACGACACCTCTCTTCATTTAGCGACCGCGACAACGACAGCTTTTTGGTACCCGGGACTC